ATAATCATCAATAATTATTAATAATAATAATAATAATAATAATATTATGTACATTTGTATATACACATATGTATAGTAATAAATAATCAAAGACCACTAATACGTAGTTAAAAATCACTAATTAATAAGTTCAGTTCAGTTGAATTCAGTCGATCGAAACAGGCCCTTACAGTTATATGTGAAAATTATAAAGTAAAATCTAATTCAATAACACACGATTTTGTCATACACTTGAAAATTACTACTAAACAAAAATTACAATCGAGTTTAGTTTTAGAATATATTTTTAAATTTTATACGAAGTACATACTTAGTCTTTGAGGCTACATAAAAGAAATAAAAACAGAGGGTCCATTAAGCATTAATATTTGTTGGTAGGCTAGGCATGCATAATTGGTAATTTGGACCTATTTGGTGATGTCAATAATGAGAATCCAGGGGTTTCAGCAGTACTGTTGTTTTCAATTGCCGACGTCAAAATTGGGAACTTGATAAGCAACTAGACATCCACTTAATTGCTGTGTATACAATAACAACCATTATAGCCCTCATATATAGGAATACAAACTGGATCTTTTTTATTGCTTATCAACTAACACTACTATTATTCCATGTTATATTTCATCCAATTTCTCTCCTTAGTTTTCAAAACATCCTCTTTAGTCTTTAAGTTGTTTCCATTATCTTTTGTTCATTTCTTTGTCACTTGTATAAGTAAAGTTTGAAAATTACTAGACACACGTACATAACATATATAACATCGTACATCAGTCATTTATTTGATTTTTAACATTATTAGGTTATAGAGACAAAAGTCACTAACAAACTATGGTGGTAATCAAGTACTCCGTATTAACTTAATTTAAAAAGTGACATATTATTACGAGACATGACCCAGTCCCATTGTAAAATGGGGCCGGGGCTATGGGTGCCGAATAATTGTGGATATTAGCTGGAGACGAGACGTAAACAACCTTCTGTTTACGAGTGTAGAGGAGCAGTGGCCGGTGATTGTCAAAGGCAAAGCCTAAACAAATAGAGATGGCTAAAGAAAGCAAAAGAAGTAGCATTCTTGTTTGGGGTACGCAATCTTAAATGCAAACTTGTCAGATTGTTGGATATCCTAACATTATTTCAGTGTCAATTATTTTTTGTTTTCCTTTGACTGGATAATAAATACAGTATATATATTCCAAAAGAGTGTTGTTATCCAAGAAGAAAGCTAATTCTCTCAGCAAGCAAACAAGGGAAGCTCACATGAAAGTGCCAATATAACCATATCATTATATCAATCTGATCTGCTTCTTGTATGCCCTCTGTTTTCTTCTGGTAATGCCCAATTAATACTGCATACCTTGTTTCAAAAGAGAATGCATGAAAAAAGGTACAGTAAATAAAGTAAAAGAAATATACCTTTTTTTATTTTTTGGAAAGAGAAATATACTTTGTACAATAGTAAAAATAAAATGGAAAATATAAAACTTAATCTAAAATTTAGGTGTAAAATGTAAATATTGTTAGGCCAAGTGTACAACTTAGATACAAAGTTCTCCGTATTAGTATTAATAAAACTAGCATAGTGCCCGTGCGATGCACGATTTTATAAATCAAATTATTAAACCCGTAGGAAAAATAAAAATAAAAACAAAGGTAATTCATTTACTATTAAAGGACTTGTACTAATGGTCAATAAAAAAAAAATTAAAGGAACGTTATTTGAATAGTATGTTATGTTATTTGAATTTCTTTTAATTTTTTATAATGTTATTTTATTAATTGAAAAATAATTGAATAATACTCCACATAGTTCTATAAGAAGTGGACTAATTTATTTATATCTCCCATTGAGAAAAAACTAAAATTTTCTTATCATACCATCCGCATCAGTAGCTACAATCAATCTAATATATACATGTTTTATTTACTCGTCGCACTCTTTAGATCTATAGACACAATAATAACCTTATATTTGACCTACCAGAATTTATATATTCCTAAGTTAAGCACTGTGCCAAAAACTATATATTATATAATAGTCATATATATAACCAACAACTGATTAAATATAGTATACGACACAAATACTTCGTATATAGGTATGGATACTGATAATTTTATATAAATAAAGTATACAGAGTATATATTACTAAGATTTATCCCTACCTTAATTATAAAAAGGTTAACAAAACTCTTATAATAGTGCATGGACATTTATATATCTAAAAATGTTCTTTTTACATATATTTTCCCCCATTATGGACATTTATATATCTAAAAATGTTCTTTTTACATATATTTTCCCCCATTATGGACATTTATATATCTAAAAATGTTCTTTTTACATATATTTTCCCCCATTTAATTTTAAATGCCTTAAAATTGTCTATTGAATTCACTAAATTGATTTAAAAGGTTATGTTTATTTCAATATTTAAAGCCATTTACTATTTTCATTTCCTTTTGTTTTAATTTTTCTATTTAGAATTTATTAGACTATTAGGTTTTAAGATCGAAGTCAATATCTTTTTACCATACAATCACTAAATCAAAGTCGCTCAACTAAAGTTTTGGACATTGCATAGCTACACAACATCCAACACATTTAATGATTACATGCAAATAATTTTAATAAAACTACGCATTCGATATAAGTTATTAAACAATTTAACTATATAAACATTATGATAGGTTTATATCTTTCATATTAACAAAAATTTACAAATGTTATTATTATATTTTGAAAAAAAAATTAGACTTTGGAGTTTTGTATAAGATAGATAAAGGATAAGTCAATTCCCGTCATATATGCATTGAGTTTTGGGTGTTCTACCCCGTTCACCCTTTGGGCTAATCCAGATTTGAGGATCAGTTCTAGGTTATTAGGTTCCACCCCCCTTCCGATTGTTGTTGCAAGGGAGCACATACATTTTGATAGGTTTATATATTTCATATTAACAAAAATTTACAAATGTTATTATTATATTTTGAAAAAAAAAATTAGACTTTGGAGTTTTATATAAGATAGATAAAGGATAAGTTAATTCCCGTCATATATGCATTGAGTTTTGGGTGTTCTATCTGGTTCACCCTTTGGGCTAATCCAGATTTGAGGATCAAATTAGTTATTAGGTTTTACTCCCCTTCCGATTGTTGTTGCAGGGGAGCACATAGGTCCTCCCTACCAAGTGTAGTTTCAATCACCAGTACTACACCAACAACCAATTGGTGTAGTGGTGATTGGGACTACACTTGGTATGGAGGACACGTGTTATAAAATATTATATTATAAACATATACTTTTTTATATTATAAAAAATATTATATTATATACACATACTATTATATTTAAAAGTATTATTATGTATAAAACAACATAAATTATTGTACATGATTGTTGTATATCTAGTATTGTACATGAGTAATGCACGATTTTTAAATCAAAATGTTAGTTTTTTTTTAAAAAAAATTCATAAGTAATAGCATTGTTAATACGAATATTACAATTTAAAACATGAGTAATAGTTATAATACATTTTATATCTATCCCTTTGTTCTTGTTTAGATTGGTTACTGGTTCAGTTTTTTTTTTTTTTTTTTTTTTTTTTTTTTTTTTAATGCAAGAAAAACAAAAGGTCATTGTAAAAGACATTGTTTAAAAAATGAAAGGCCGGTTAAAATTAAATTTATGTTCAAGATTATGTATTTTTTTCCAAGACAACATTTCGGCTCAGCATTCAGTATTTGTCAAGGAGTACAACAAACGATAAAAGTAATTTTTACACTATTTTGTATCTTTATCAAAAACTTTTGTATTCATCCGATTACTTGAATTGAATTTAGGATAACTTGTAGACTATTTTGGTTAATTTTATCAATAAAGCATAAATAACTTTCATTCATTACAGGGTAGCTTTTATAATAGGTGCACAATATTTTATTGTACATCTGATTTTTTTTTAAATGTTTGTATTGATTTCATAATTGACGTCAAACTAAATATTATCGATTTTATTTAATTTTCATAAAAAAAAAACAATATTAGCCTTTCAAAATACGAAATATTTGTTTCCTTAATTATGTCACTTTAATCACATTGCTTCAAATTAGTTATTATTCTTTAACTTAACTATAAATAAAGATTGGAAAGATTTTATGGATTATTTGTAGTATTGGAAAGTATATATATTTATTATAAAAAATTAAATCAATATTTATGTTAGGAAATCATGAAAATCTTATGCATGTATAGAAACTTGCTTTTATTGTTTGAAGTTTAACAAAAATAACTCTGCTTGAATATGTAAACAGTAATTATATAGATACATTTTATAAATAAGATAAGCCAATGAGAGAGTGACATTTGTCATCCTCACATTGAGGCGCTTGTCTTTTAGTATAATATATTGATGTATTAGTATTAATAAAATGTATACCAAAAATAAAATAAAGTAAAATCTAAAACACCGAATACGAAAACCTAAAATTATAACGCCTTAGGCACAACAATACTAAGATACCCATCCAAATTTACACAATTTACTACTACTTCAAAATTCATTCTTCTCAACATAAATCTAAAGTTGGAGATCTTAAAACATTTTAAGACCAATTAATTAGGTTATACATTGCAGTATAGTAGATGTTAGTCTGTTAGAGCCACTTAGCCAACATTAACTTGCAATCAACCAGATTTCAGCAAAGCTCTATTTTCAATTTGCCACTGAATTTAAACTTCACGAAGAAAACTTGCTACCGTGAAGCTCTGATACACAGTGAATCTGCCCATGGGCAGGAGACTAGGAGGGGGGCGGGGGAAGGTAAGCGTCAAAACAAGCGCTAGCGGTGGGATTCGAACTTGGGACTTTCAAGTCACCAAGTGCAGCTCCCACCATCAGACCAACCTTGTTTAGTAGTGAACTACTGTATTTTTCAAAGGTATAGTAATAAAACTGCACCGTATCTTTCGAAAATATTGCGTAAAAAAGAAATTGCAACAACCATGAAGTAACAGTAGCAGCTAAGCAACCAGCAGAGAATGGACAATTGATAGAACTTGATTCATGAATTTACTAATTCCCCCCTTTACATACTTAACAGGGGGAATGGATTTGTCTAAAGTTTCTAACCAGAAGTAGTTGAATTACAACATAGTACAACATATTTTATAGCCCTTTTTTATCATTATAAAAGCAGCAGATTTATCAAAAAGACCCCAACTGCCTCTTAAGTCTTTAATTATAGGCATAATACATTGCAAATAAGTAACCCCACCTACAATTATATCTGATTCTCTTGCAACATCTAAGTGATGCTCTGTACAATCTAGCTTCTCCCTTTGCTTCTCATATCATGAGCTCCTTCCAATGTCTTTACCAGCAAACTCGGGTCCTCCAAACGAAGCAGCCGCGGCTGCCACATCAAGGCCGTTCCCCATTGATGTGATTAGTGCTGACAGACCCCCGTTTGGGCTTCCCCCGGCAGCCATTCCCAATCCGAGGAAGTCCAGGGTAGGTTGTTTTGGCCCAAACATTGAAGAACTTCCGATCATTAGTTCCTTCAATCCAGACCCTTCATCACAAGGTAAGCCCAACCCAAGGCCGGATTGGACGGGGCTAGTCTCAGGCTCAACTTGTCGAGAAGTCCATTGAAGACTATCTGAGGGTCCAGCAGATGAAGTCGATGAGACAAGCCCAAGTCCACGAAGCAAAGACCCGCCATTTGCTCCCATTTGAGCAGCCTTCTGAAGCAGTGCTGTAGCTGACATTGCTGGCTGTGGAAGCGGAGCATACTGCCTTCGTTCTTGACCAGCAGGCCCAAAAATCGATGACCCGTGATTTGTAGCCAGGCAAAGTGAAATGGGTTCTGCTGGTGCAGATTGGGGAAGTTCTGATGGAGGGCACTCGGGTTGAGTCATGGTTTGAATGAAGTCTGAGAAAGCCGGATTTGCATGAGATTGTAAGCTAGCTGGTTGAGCTGAGGAAGAAGCAAACAAGGTAGCAAATACACTGCTACTAGTATTGGCACCACTACTAGAACTGCAACTACTGCTACTGCTTCCACTACCATTTAACCCAGCTGTGACCATAGACACCGGAGGGAGTACATTTTCCGAGACCGGAGTATGACTTTCGGGCAACCCTTGAACTGTAAAACAAGATGAAAAAGTGTTTCTTCACTAAACAGCAATGGCCTTTTTATCTATCTGCACTAAAAATGAACTTTAAATAAAAGTAAAAGAGTCAAATTCAATCATAGTCTCCTTTCTCATCTCCCCCTTTCTTTCCAACTCTTCCACTCTTAACACTTTTGAATCAATTGGATCTGCCCCTTTAATGAAAGTTTAAAGATATTAAAATCATTTAATCTCCTACCCAACTGCACTCTGTTTTCATCTTTTAACTAAAATATGTAGCTTTAATACAATCTTTAAGTAAGCATTAATATATAAGCATCCAATCTAAAACCCAAATAAAAACAAAAAAAAAAGGAAAAAAATAAGATCAACAACAGACAAAATAAACTAAATCCAAAGAAAAATCATCAAAGATTAAGAACAAACAAAATTAGAGAAAGACAACCAAACTCATCATCCAATTCAACAAAAAAATAAATAAAGAGCATATCAGAGAACCACGCACACAAACACAAATATTAATATGACACCACCTAGTTTTCCTACTTAAGAAATGGTCAATATACCTGAACTCTGAATAGGCAAAACGGATGACACCATAGTAGTAGCTGGAGTCACAGAAATTGGAGTTGACTGCGTCGGTGCAGGTGGTGGTGGCGGTGTTGATTGCCGAGGAGCAGGCAATGGCGACGGAGGAGGCATCTGTTGTGCCACTGATGGCTGCGGCGGTGCTGCTGCTGGTGGCGGCGAAGCGATTACAGCTGAAGCTTTTGACTCAATCTCCATCTTAGTGCTATTGTTATTAGCATTATTCTTACCATTAGGATGATTTCTTGCACTTTCCTCAGCTAAAGCATCACAAAATGCTCTGTGTGTAATAAAACTATCCCTCCTGTCAATTCATCAACAAAAACAAACAAAGAAATAAATCCCACAAAATTAATTACCAATAAAAATCTCTTACAACCAAAAAAAAAATCTTTAGAAATTTAAAAAAAAATAAAACAAAAATCCAACCTTGAAAAAAGAGTGCCACAATCACACTTATATTCCCTAGTACCACAAATCTTGATATGAGCTTTCCAATCAGATTGAACAGCATATTTTTTAGAACATTTCTCACATTTCCATTTTTTTTTCACCATGTTTTCTACAAAAATGTTTCTTAATCCCAGTCAAATCTCCCAAAGCTCTAGAAGGATCATGATGAACACAACTAATTTCAGGGCAAACATAAACCCTTTTCTTCACTTCTTTACTCGATCTCTGCCTCAACTTCCACGGCAAATTATGCCCTCTTCTATGAAGCTGAAGATTCTGATCTCTCTGAAAACCCTTGTTACATATTTCACACACGAATCTGTTCGTCGCCATTAAAGTTTTCGGCGACAACGCTATCACCTCAGCATCCGGATCTACTCATTCAAAATTATCAACCAACAAATCAATAATCATTCCATTCAAACAACACAAACAAAAATGACTAACGGAAGTTGTGAAATCAAAGGATTACCGGGCATTCCAGGCTGATTACGCTTCTTTTTAGTTGGGGGTTTTAAGGGTTCTGTTTGATCACCGCTTGAAGAAACACTAGCTTCACCAGAAGCTCCTGTGTTATTTGACATGGTTTTAGCCGATGAATCATCCAAATCTGCCGGCATCACCAAATTATTTTTGGGGAAGAACAGGATATTTTTTAGGGTTTTTTTTTAAGAGAGAGAAAAAAACAAAAACAAAAAACACACTCAAAATTTTTTTTTCCCCTTTTCTCTCTCTTCAACAGCTACCAGTCAATTTGCTTTTATCACTTCAATTTTTATTTTCTTTCCCAAAAAAAAAAAAAAAAAAAATAAAAATCTTTCTCCCAACTACCAGCTGGTCCCTGCACTGATGATTCTCTGACTAGAAGAACATGACACTGGGTGATAAAATTAGCCAACGCTACTACTATTTAGAGTAATTACTCTTAATAAATTACTTCAAAAATTCATAAAAGGGTGTAATAATTTCTGGGTTTTCTTCTTTTTGTTGTTGAACCCAGAAATTTCGCCGGAAAATGAATAGATTTCCGGCGAAGAAGAAGCAGGATTTGATGGGAAATTTTTGGGTTTTTTTTAAAGAAAAAAAAAAGGGGGAATTTCTAAAATTGTAAGATATAGAGGTTGAAGTAGCAATTGATTTGGGAATATTTAGGGAAAGATTCAAAGAAGAAGTGGACAATTTTAGAGGGTTAAAAGGGGATTTTTGAAAAGACAGCGAGCTTGAGAAATGGAGGAGAGAGAAAATAAAAAAGAGAGAAATTCTGCAAAATTGTCAACAAGTATGAGTTGCTAATTGCTATGCATTTCTTGGTCTTCTACAAGGAAAAAACAAGGAAAGAGAGAGAAAATAGATTTTTAATTTTTTGGAAAGGAAATAAAAAAACAGGAAAAAGAAAATGAAAATGAATGAAGGGGGTAAAATGAAAAAAATTGTGTGTGTAAGTACGGGCACGTGGGTAGAGGTGAAAAATGGAGTATTTTATTTTGTGTTATTTTATTGAGTTTTGATTTACTCGAATTTTCTCACGGTGTCGTGTCAACCCGTTGGGTAACTCGTCGGCAACATGGCTTTGTGTTTGGCCCTATCGGTGTTTCGTGGCACCGATTTGTCGTAGTATGTTGGTTCATTACAGAGGTGGCCAACGGGTCGTTTAGATGAGGTTGGATGGGTTTATGTTCGGGTTAAATTTATTGTGTTGTGTCAATTTTTTACACTAGGTAATTTTGGGTGGGTCGAGTTACTCTTCTATTATATTGTTAATAATAATATGCTTATTTTGATAAAATAAACGGTATTAAAAACACTGATTGTAGGGTTAATTGGGTCCATTTAGGTCAAGTTGGATTGGTTCTGATTAAGTTAAATCGAGTCAAGTGATTTCAAGTATTTGGATATTTCAAATTGAATAATTAAATATGAGTCATTTTGCTAAGTTTGGTACGGAGTAAATCTCTTTTAAAAACGAAAATGTCAACATATATTAATGAATCAATCATAAGCCAATTATATAATACGGAGTACATAGAACATCTCTATCACTACTTAAAGGGTGAGGTTGTGATGTCTATGTAAATTTCCTACAGTAAAAACACATTTGTAGATCGCTAATGAAAGGTTGTGTTTGCATTTTTATAAGATAAAAACACCTGTGTATACATGCAAATTAAATATATGCTACTCCGTATTTCATATATATTAATTAGATTATTTGGTTAAAATTTTAGATTTGATACCTAAGATTTGACAATGAATCTCATCAAAACCACATATTTAAGCATTTAAAAAATTACTTTTTTTTTTGGTGAAAGCACGTCATATTTCAATTTAGGAAAACTTCGGCTGAAGAATTTTGGATAACATTATTATTTTAAGAAGTATTTTGCCCTTGGCCCTGTTTGGGAGAAAGCTGAAAGCTGAAACTAATTGAGTTAGCCGATTTTGACTAGCTGATTTTATTAACTGATTTGACTAACTTATTGTATTAACTGATTATATAAAAGTTTTTGGTAAATAGCTGATAGTTTAAAGGTGATTGAGTATGTGAAATGACCAATAAGCTAATTTTGGAGTAGGTAGTTTAGATAGGATTTTAAATTAAATGAGGTTATAAGTGTCATTTCACAATAATTAATGAATAAGCTAATTGAAAAAGCTCCTAAAATAAGCTTTTTCAAAAAGAGCTTATTTAGTGGAATAAGCTCTTTCAATAAGCTTACTACCAAACACTTGTATTAGCTTGTTTGACTAGTCAATCAGCTAAAGTTAGTCAAATAAGTTAATATACCCCCAATAACCTTACTACCAAACAGGGCCCTTGTTTTTAGTTTAGAAAGGCACAAGCACGAATGACGAGAATCTATCTCAAGATCCTCTAAAATTATGAGGGAAACTCTAACCATCTGAATTATCTCTCACTCTTATCTTGTCCTTTGAATTTAGGTTTTTTTTTCTTTCCTATGATCTTCAAATTATATTCATTTTACTACCAATTAAGGATGTTTCCCACATTCAAAAGCTCTTCATTTGGCGACTTACCTAATATAAAAGACAAGAGTTGTTTATCATACTCCATAATAGTAATTTCTACTTTTGAAACTTACTTATAAAACGTTAACTTTCCATCTATAAAACACACAGACTATACTTTTACCTTATAAATCATATTTCCTAAAAGCAAGTATAAAGAATTAAAGAGGGTTACAACTCTCAAGTATGTCCTAACATGTCGATTATGTCAAGTTACTCTATTCATTTTTGCGTATTGATGCGACTAATATATTGTTATCGCATAATAATTAAGCTTTGTACAGGGTTATCCTTTTTTCCAGTAGGGTTAAAACACACTAGCTAGGTTAGTTATTTTACTCATAATGATTCTTTTTACGCTTACTAATCTCACCATTTACTTAATTTTATTTTTTATTTTTAACGAAGTAAAACTATAAAAAGTTTGATAATTGTTTACTGTTCATAGAGGCGATTACAACGTGATTTCACATAGCTATTGTGATCAAAGAGAAGTATGTAAATAATGAATAAAGTTAAAATTGATAATTAAAAAAAAAAAAAAAAGTTGAAAACAATTAAAATAAAGGTGTTATATGTTAATTTTGAGTTAAGGTTGGGAAGAATGAAATCAGGTATTTAATAGGATTGCCATATACCCAAAATAAATTGAAATTCGCTTGTATACTGGTATCAACATCTATAATAGATTGTGGAAAAAAAAAAATTGTTTATACTTAACGCTCATTATTACACATTAAGGCCCCGTTTGGTTTAATGTAAAACATTTTCAATGGAAAATTAGTTTTCATGAAAAACATATTTTTAAGGAAAAACATATTTGCAAGTTAGTTTTCCTTTGTTTGGTTGCATACAAAAAAAATTCCAAGAAAAATAAAAAATAAAGAGTGGAAATGTAAGGATGAATGAGAGGGAAGTAAAAAAAGAGGTAAAGAGGAGAGAGGAAAATATGGCTTCCCTTGTTTTGGGAAGGAAAATGTTTTCTATTATTAAGGATGGAATTTTCCACCCTTGGAAAAATTATTTTGCACCCTTAACAAACCAAACAAAGGAAAATGGGAAAAAAAAAATTCATTTTCTATGAAACCCTTTTACATCAAACCAAACAGAGCGTAAATAAATAACTAAACTCTTTTACTTGTATTAAAAGTCGGTGAGAGTTCATTGATAAATAATCAAAGCCCTATCGTTGTGAACCTATAGAGTATCAAAGCATACACATATCTGTAATTTTACCAACAAGACTTGCCTCAAGTGGTAAGCAATTTGATGTCGTTTAAGGGAGATCTCGGGTTCGAGCCTCACCGTATGCAGAAACTCTTGTTGGGAGACTCACCCGAGTCGGATCCGGATGTAGTCGAAGCTAAGCTTTGGTGAAACGGGTGAGCAACCTTTATAAAAAATAGATGTGTCTTAAAACTACTCTGTATATCTTTATTTTTATAAACGTGATATTAATAAAATATACAATGAGACGAATCTAACAAGACCACTCATGACTATACTATCTTTCATAAATTTACGATAATTTATAGTCGAAGTTTTCAAAATTTAATCCAAAATTTAACAATAGGAACAAAAATAAAGAAACAGAGGGAGTAATTATCTCACTAAGGGCTTGTTCTCATTGACTGAACTCAGCTGAACTGAACTGAACTTAAGGTCTATTCTCATACGTTTATTTTCAGTTCAGTTCAACTCGGCTCAATTCAGTTCAGTTCCTAATTTTCTTCTCTTATAAAATATTCAGTTCAATTTAGTTCAGCTCAGTTCAGTTCAGTTCAGTCTATGAGAATAGACCCGTATTAGAGCTGAACTGAACTGAACTGAAATGAATATTTTAAAAGTAAAGGAAATTAAGAGCTGAGCTGAATTGAAGTGAAGTGAACTTATTAAAGCTGAACTAAAAGAAACTGAAATAATCATATAAAAACAGAACCTTACATTGATAAATCACTGTAATTTTTTATACACTACTCCGTAATATTTATATGGGCCTTGGGGAGCAAGAAATAGTAATAATGAGTCAAGTAAGATTAAAAAAAGAGTGGTGAGGATAAGATGAAGTACTTAAAATGGGACGTACAACCAAAAAGGCAGCATTATCTTTTCTGTGTACGCATCATTGCGTGCATTGACTCAGATTTACAGCGACCATTTTTTTTTTTAATTTCACTTTGGCCAACTGGTAACTGGCCTACCTTTTTACAAAAAACGTTATAAACTGGGATCTTTATCTTTTAGGCAAAAAAAACCCAAAAGAAAACTGTAGAAGTGTTACATACACAACATGCAGTGTAGTACCTGAGTACGTAGCAGTATTCTTTATCTGTATTTAGATCCATGGATCATGGCCCGTCACCTTGGGGCCCATTGGCCCAGTAAGTCTTCATATTTAATGCTTCATTATCTACTCTTTTTCGTTTTTGTATTTGCCCTTAGCTTGTCTCTCTCAAACCATCTGTTGGAGTTTTTTTTTTTTAATAAAAAAACAATTATTTTTGGCTTGGCTTGACAATAATTGAGTCATGAAAATCTGCTCACATTTAATGGAAAGAAATCCGTTCATAAAATCTAGAGAATATCTTGTGCAACAAAGTACTGAGTACCTTTTAATTTTATTTCGTATTTAGTATAAGGTCATGCTTACTTAATTTTAAGAAAATATAGAGTAATATGGAATATTTACTTAAGTTCAATAATAATGATTTAAGTTATGTAACTTTCAAAATTAATTAAGTTATGTAAAAATGTGTTGAAATTAGTAAATTAAAAAAACAAATAAATTGATGAATCTCTAATTACATAAGTTTATTGTAAATATGGGGCTTTTCTAATAAAATTTTATCAACACTTGGTTGTTGTTACGGATATCACATTTAAAGTGATGATAAAGGATAGTCATACAAAGTAATTCTGAAGAAAGTGACGTATTTGAATATGGACTCACATTACCATGGACATTAATAAACGATATAATATTTACTTCCAAAGTTATATAATATACGTCCGTGCTTAATTCTTAAACGTGAATTGTTGATAAGATATTTATGAAAACCTTCATATATACCTTTTTCTTCATATTAATCTCTAGTATTAAATACAAATATTGATTACACATTTTGAAACTTTGTTTTGTATTGTCAAAAGCTACTGCACCCACAATTGTGGCAAACGTTTTGTTATAGTCTACCTTAGACTTTTAGTCCAAATTCATTCTTTATCCACTTATCCTATTCATATTCTTATAGATTAAGTCTTCTAGCTATAGCTTATTATTATTTTTTTCGATATTATTTCCCCTTAATTAATCTACATGACTCTACCTAATTAAAACTCTAAAGTCTACAATGAAACACGTA